TATTTTCAAAATCTTAAGTATGAATGTCACTTAGTCAACATTCAACCAATAGTTATTATGTTATAAAGTGTAAGGCACTGACCTGCCTTTAAGGAGCTTATACTCTTGTTTCACTTGCTGTATGAAAGCCTTTTCTCTGAAATCTATAACATGGGCCCTCATACATTACTAGTGGGAATGTAAAATGGTGCAGCTACTTTGGAAAAGTTTGCCACTTCCTCAAAAAGTTAAAAATAGAATTATCATATGACCCAACAATTCTACCTCTAGGTATATACTCAAGAGAAATGAAAGCATCATCCACCCAAAGACTTGTGTGCAAACATTCATAGCAGTGTTATTCATAATAGCACCAAAGTGGAAACAACCTAAATGTTGGACAGATGAATAGACAAATGCAGTGTATCCACGCAATGGAATACTATTCAGCAATAAAAAGGAAGCAAGTACTGGCACTTGCAACTTCATATTTAAAAACATGATGTGAAGTAAAAGAAGGCAGACACTACAGACTATCTATTGTATGATTCCTTTGATATGAAATGCCCTGAAAAGGCAGATTTATAGAGATAGGAAGTAGATAGTGATTGCCTGGGGCTGGAGTTGGGGATAGGAATGAGGATTAAATATAAATGTGTCTGAGGGATCTCACTGGATGGATGAAACCCTTCTAAAACTGGGTTATGGTGATGGTGCACTACTTGGTAAAGCTGCTGTAAGTCATTGAATTGTATACTGGAAATGGGTAAATTTTATGATATGCAAGATAAACCTCAACAAAGCTGTTAAAAATAGTATGCATCTTGGGACATCATGTCCCATTATAAATATGGAAACCTCTGACACACATGGAGTGACCAATGACAGTATATAAATTAGCCTACCTTAGGGAATACAATTTAAGTTGGTTCTACTTGTCTTCTAAGGCTAAGTAATAAAACTTATTTTGGAGAAAAACAGTCCTCTTTTAGGAGAAAGAAGTAGTCATTAATGTGCCTGAGGAGGAGTCTTTCTCCTGGACTTTTGCTTCATTCCATTTGAAAATGGGTGAAGTGCCTAAAGCTGAGCATTTAAGGAATTAGAAAGGTGTCAAAGGGCAGTATGTCAGAGTTTAGCAAATGGAAAAAACTCAGCAGTTTAAAGCAGAGGATCCATGAGAGAAAAACTCAAGCCAGGAAGCAGGATGTGAAAACCAGTGGACCATGGATAAAGGTAGTGGACAGATATGATAATACCAAATCAGTAAAAAATATTTATATAAGCTGGGAGGTCACAAAATGGTTATGGCATGAGATCCTTTTAGCATAAAGTAAAACCAGGATGCCACACTAGATTCATGGAAATGCTTAGGTGCTGTTACAAGAGTCCGCAATGTTACTTAATAGAACATTGTTGCATGCTACTGTAAGAGTTTAAGCCTTTTGGATTTTGACTATTTAGTTTAATTAAATTTCATGTCATCCTCCCATCCCAATCCCACAGCATGTCCTAGACCATAGCTACAGTTTATGGAGCACGGACAATACATCAGGTGCTTGGTGAAGCACATTCCCCATTTAAACTTCAAAGCAAGCCTACATGAAACAGCTGACTTAAGTATTCCCCTTTACAGATGGTGAAACTGAGATCTGGAGATGCTCAGTAACTTGTCTCCCAGAGCCAATGTTCTTAATCGCTTTATATACCGCCTATAGTATCTTCTATAATATTAATCTCCAGCCACAGAGCTGATTTGGTTCATTATATTCCTTTACAAAACTTTTCAAACCAGTACACATTGTTTATTTTTCTCCATCTTTTCAAACTCCTCCATTGATTGCTGTACTTTAATATAATTTTTATATTTTCTAATATGTTATACACAATTTTTCTTCTTACCCCAAATTTATACTAAAAAGTGAACTGGGTCTGTCAGATTTGATGACCTGGAAATTTAGAAACACACACGCGCGCGCGCGCGCGCGCACACACACACGGACAGAGAGACAATATAGAAATTCTCTTGCTAAATGGGAACTTTCAAAGTTCAGAGTTAAGTAAGTACTAAGAAATCAGGTTATACTCAATAATTATTTGCCTTTGCTACTTTGGCTTCCAATTCAAGATCGATTCCCAGCTCCAATCCTTATTTTGTCTGTCAACTACCCTCAACATGCCATGCACAAAGACAAAGGATAGCTTAGAGGATATGTACTTAATTATAAGTAATTTATTTTTAACTTGAATATACTATAATTTGTATTGCCTACCATTATTGAATAAGTAGGTATTCCATTATTTGTTGAACTGAAATGAATTTGTGAAACTGGTCATTCCAAATGAAGGGCTATGTTGGGGTCTTGAGTTTCAGTGTGGTTAGGCTTATTTTCTACAAAATTATTTTCCCAACATCTAAAGAGTTTTGAGTTGAGACTCTGCCTAAATGCCACAGTAGACTTTTCAATCAATCAAAACCATCTCTTTAACTATGTAGAGTATCTTAAGTATCTAGACAACTAGGAATGTGAATATTTCAAAACTTGGTAACTGTTGGAATCATTCTGCTTTGTGCAACTGGAACTAAATACTGCCTTTTGGCAAGTCCTGGACTAGGAGTTGAAAGTCCTGAGTTCTAGTCTTCTGCTATTCGACACTCCTGTCACCTCCAACATCTATAAAATGGTGAAAGGTCTATCCATATTGCCTCTTCAGAACAATAAAGTATAGAAAAGAATGATTAAGAGCAAAGGAAGTAGATGCTATTTGATAGTTCATCTTTTTCTTGGATTTGAATTATTTTTATAAAGTTAGGATTTTATTTTTGGCTGAGAAAAAAAAAAACATTTTGGTGGGTGGGTTACCTATAGCAATATTTTTTTCAGTCATTTTTTATCTATCATAAAGAACGTTGGCTTAAGTTGACAAGGCTGGGAGGGCAAAGGAAAGAGTAGCCAAAGAAAGCACACACTTGAAGACAACATGACCAAAGCCTTTGAAACAACAAATCAAAGCAGCTAGCAAAGCTATTCTTCCAACACTTCAGCCCAAACTCCAACAGATACGCAGACGAAATATGCTTTTATACACACAAGTCTCTATGCGGAACGAGGCTGTGATTGAAAAAAAAAAAAAGTAGTAAATGCTAAAATAATGAGTGGGAGATTGAATCTTCACTCTTAAAAGAATCTATCATCTTTTCATACTAGTTTCAATAAATCATTTTAGGTACCCCCAACAACTTGACACCAAAAAGTAAAATTGGGCTTATTTAGATATTTATCTTCACATCGCATAATGCTATAATGATATATTGTGGTGATACTGCAAATAAATGCTGAAAGATTCTTTTATTTTTTAAAAGAAGAATATCTGGGAATAAAAATCATTAAATAATCATACTTCCGGATTTTAAAAGTATCCAAAGTAGTACATATTTTCTGGACAAAAAAACAAAAAAAACAAACAAACAAAAAAAAAACAAATTTACAAAAAAGGTTCATTTACGGGAAGTTAATCTTTTTGACAAAAATATTTGAGTTTGCAGTTTCTTAAACTAGAAGAATTTTTAGGTCAAACGATGTGCAAATCTTCCTAGTACGCACATAAATGTTTGAAGAGGATAGTCACATCCCAATATTCAAAGTGTTTTGTTTTATTATCTATTTATTATGCTCCCACACCACACCTCTACACTCTGT